ACTGATACTGCCCCTGCCACCCAGCAGCCGCGGAAAATGCGGACGAGGCCAAAGCCGAGAAGATCGATCTGGTTTGACGTTGCAGATGATCAGGATGAAAGGACAGCCCCGCCCTCTTCATCTTCGGCAAAAGGCCGAAGCACTGGCACGACGAAGGATGCCAAGCACCATGATCGTGTTCGGAGACGGATGGCCAAGAAGATGGAGGAAATTTTCCAGGCCAACCGAGCCGCCGGACTCAGCAAAGACTCCGCTGCCTCATCCAGTGCTGCATACACAGATCGCGAGTACAGTCTGCCATGTAGGAGCCTGCATCAGCTTGATCTGCCTTGCAAGAGCCAGAGCATGCCTCTCCCACCACGGCCTGTCATGACCACTACCCTTGTTTCTCCCAGGTCCGAGCCTGAAGCTGATGCCGTACTCTCAGGCCTGAGGCTGAAGCAGTCTTATCCACTGTCCGCCGACTGGTGCTCCATGTCTATGCACCTACCCATGGACTCGGCAGTTAGTCCCCCCTGGAGGTGCCCACTCACAGCCGCCGACGGAGTATGGTACTCAGAGTATATCTGGGGCCACTGGCCCATCTACCATTGCACCACAGGCCCCCTACCGTGGGCATCCAGGATGCCAAAGCACATGCCAGGATTTTGGCAGGCTCATGTGGGTTCTGGCCCTCCCTGTAGTGCTCAGCCACTTCTGCATGCAGGCCTAACCACACCGCCCAGGACAATGAACTCGATGCCGGCCGGGTCGGCGGATGCTGAGGGTTATGGGCTTCTGCACATTTCCTTTCTGTGTCATAGCCCGCGATCTATAGGTGTGCCTGCTCCACTGGCAACAGGTGTGCTCCCTTCTTTTATGCAACATGTGAGTGCCACAGACACACTGATGTGGTCTTATCGGCAGGGATGGACAGATGCCTACCAGGCAGGTCCAACGGAACCGTGCTATGTTTGCATGCGCCATGCTCGCCCTGGAGCGGACCACTTTCCAGTGAGCACCGAATCGTTGTCAGCCCGGACCTTGCAACCTGTCGGGGCCTTGGTGACCAAAATAGACAACATTAGACTGCCATCTTCGTTTGGCTCACGTCTCGGCCCTGGCCGACCAGGTTTGTATGAAACATTGGGCACAGGACAGTGGCAGCTTCACTCATATGCTCCCTTTCAGTTGGTTCCCCGCATTCCTGAGTGCAGGACCTGCCAGGAACACGCCTGGCTTTCAGACTGGAGGACCCGAGATGTGAGTGGTGCAGATTCGCATATCGACAACGTACACCTGCTCGGAGCAAGTGCCAACTTAGTCCACGCCTTAATCGAAATAAAATCAGGCCCCCCCAGACGGCTTGGAGCCTTCTACGCAAGCCTCTCCTGAACCCCGGTCTTTTGATTTGGATGCAATGGACTAAGCACGCTCCGAGGCAAACAGGCTGTACTGTCGGGACTGTGCGCCGAGTGCCTTCCTATGTGCCAGAGTCGCCTTCCCGCAACAGCAAGACCATTTTCAGTACTGACCATACAAATGTACATTGGAGCCTCTCCGGTCCCAATTCCGGAGACCGACTGAAGAGTACGGCTGATATAGGAAGGCACCCAAACAGTCGGTTAGGGTGAGGGTTGAGAGCGGGTGCCATCCGCTCTCGAGACCGAATCCGGTCTTTCTGACTGGAGATGGGAAGCCATGGCAGGAGCACTCATCCCTACTCTCTGCAGTGGGGACTGTCCCGCGGGACTCCCCACCCACATTCTTGTACTATCGCATAATTACTCACCTCCAGCTGTCACATGCAACGCTGCCCGCTTGGCCCTCCCACGGGGACAACTGCTATAAGGAGCGAGAGCCAGACATGGACTCTGCTATCAACTGCAGCTGCCAAAAGAGCCGACCCTGCCTCTTCCTGTGGGCCCTGTACTCAGGGTGGTTGCAGGCATCTCAATACCGTCTTCATTGCAAGGACAACATCCCCCTGCGACTGACGTATCTGCGGGCTCCAGCATTCACCTACCTTACCCTTCCGTGTTACAAATGTCGCGAGGCCGAACTGGAGACCCAGACAGACGATGGCACATACGAGTCGCCATAGTCTCCCTGCAAGGGGCAAACCCGGTTCACAGGCTGCTTGGGAGACGGCCCACTGAGCTGCCTCTACGCCACTTGCAAGTCACCCAGTTGCTAGACCAACTCGAAGTGGTCTCCTGTCAACACTGTCCTTTCTTCTGTTAGGTGTGGCACGTGGTGCCCCCAGCGAGGTGGCTACAGGTGATCCCCAGCCGATCACTCCTTTGCCGACAACCATGCATCATGCTGTCTATGGAACCGCCAGGAAACGATCGTACAAGAGGGCGATCCGACGTGCGGCACAAAGTGGAGACCAGCACACCTTCTATCGCGGAAGGATCTGCTCGTTGCAGCAGCTGTGTAAAGGCTATCGTGGAGGACAAAAAGCTCCCACTGCAGCCAAAACGGCCCAGAAACACCATCTGCAGCGAGCTCAGAATCGGATCCTCACGCTTTCATGCAACGCAGGAGGCCTCACCCAAGCACTCTGGCAGGAGCTCCTCCTGACTCTCACTGGTCCAGCATAGTTGCACCGGAGTTTAAGACAGCTGCCTGGGAGATCTTCACTTCACCCACCACAGACAACAAGTCAGCCGGACTCTTGATCCTCATAGACAAGACTTTAGCTCGGGGATGCCAAATCGTCTACGCGGACCCAAAACCGGGCCGGCTGCAACATTTGCGTCTCATCCACTCACAGTGGACAGCCGACATCCAACACATCTACCAAAAAGCGTACAACTCGCATCCAAAAGCAGTGAAAGATGCCCGTGAAACTAGGTCCGAAGTTTGGAACTCCATCCGTGCTCAACTACAGCAGCTTCCTGCCCGCAACACGCTTATCATGCTTGGAGATTGTAATACGCCACTAAAGCCCAGTGGTGCAGCCGGGACCCGCATCGCCCTAGGTCAGTCATCCAGTCCTGGACCCTCCGATCAGGCACGCCTGCAAGCACTCGTCGAAGACTTCTCATTGTGTCACTTGAATTCATGGAGCCGAGCAGCAGGACCAACATACCGCCATGCAAAAGGCGCTAGCCTCATAGACCATGTATTCATGAGGCACCTGCAAATGGACGACCGAGCGAAACAAGCAAGGCCGGTGGCACTTGGATTGGCGGCCTGGAGGCTTGGAGGATATCACCTGCCGGTGAAGGCGAGCTTGCCGTTAGTACGATTTCATACCTTAAACCGACCGCCACCTGCTCCACGGGAGTGGGACCACTGGAGCCTCGTGCAGGCAAGCTCTGACCCTATGGATCCGCGAATCCTGCAGCGCCGGGCTTGTCCTTCTTAAGCCCCTCGAGCTCTATCTCCAGAGCCGCAAGGCGAGACTTGAGGGGTGATTCCCCCGGACCAGGCTGCGGTTCTTCGGGGATTGCAAGCTGAAGGTCCACTGGGAGAGGCAGCGCAGCCTGCGCCTTCGCAGCTGGCTCGACAACGGCACCCGTCCGGGCTCGGCCGGAACGGAAGAAGGCGTACTCCACACCTTCTCTGGATCGCCGCTGCTCTTGCCTCCCAGGGCCAAGATCAGCTCCCCGAGGCACGAGATCTCCTTCTCGACCTCCTCTCGGTCTTCCGACCCAAGAGAAACCGCCGCCACGGTAAACCTGGTACGCAAGGCCCGCACCATCCTGGCAGGGTGCCAGTCTCCCCCCATCTTGCCGTACTCCTCGGCAAGGAGGGTAGCCTTGGTGGTGATCTTCTCCAGATCCTCCACCGTCACCTCCGCCTGGTGCGCCTTCAAGGCCACAACCAGCCTCGAAACTCGCGTCAGGTAGTCCGCGACCGGTTCCTGGTCAGGACGGTAAAGCTCTCGCAGGTCCGCCTGCAGAGACTCTGCCGTTACGGGGCCGCCCGTCCCGGCAGATGAGGGTGGCCCGGAACGGGCCGGCCGCCGCCCACCGGCGAAAGGGCAAGCGCGTCGGCACGACGCGCTGCCTCAGCCACGCCTGCCGGAACAATGGCAGGGCGCGGAGCCGGGACACCGGCCTCCGGCAAAAGCTCTTCCGAGCTGGGGCCTGGATCTCCTTCCAGAGCACCCACACCCGCCTCAGAGGCCGGTGCTTCCTCATCTTCCTCCTCTTCTTCCTCCTCTTCCTCCTCGGCATCGAAGCCGTCGTAGAGGAATTCCATCGTCTCCTTCCACAACCTCTGCTCTTCCGCCATGGTCGTGGATCGACCGTCCTTCTTCTTCGTGGGACGGGTCCCAGTATCCTTCCGCCACCGGAGCCACTACATAAAGGCCATCCTCTCGGGGTATTCCACCGACCCCTCCTCGATGCACCTAAGCAACGTGGCCCCTTCCGGCTGACCAGCGACCTCAGCGCTCATGGTCGCCTAGCGAAAAGGACGAGCCCCGTGCCGACGGGGCCACGGCCTCAAAGCGCACGACAAGCGCGCCTTCAAGGCCACGGTAAAAAGGGTTGCGGCGCAGCAGCCGCCCAGGGTAGCCGTTTCCCAGAACAGCCCCCAATTGTGAAAGACAGTGACACAGGGCAGGCACACGCCCTTGTTTTCCACTGCCTACAACAAGTCCAGCGGGCGTGACAGCCCGAACGTCTGCCCTAAGGCGTGCTGCGCACAACTGCGCCGCAGGCTACACAAAGCAACCTACGACTAGCTGCCGTGCTCACTTGAACCAAAAATGTTATGAAAACGAATTATGGAAGCATGCATAAAAGCACACAGCTTCACAGCCAGCCCGCAGACTATGTACAGTTACATGGCAGTGGCAGTAGCAGTAGCAGTAGCAGCAGTGGTAGTAGTAGTAGTAGTAGTAGCAGCAGCAGTAGTAGTAGCAGCAGTAGTAGTAGCAGCAGTAGTAGTAGTAGCAGTAGTAGTAGCAGTAGTCAGGATCTTGTTGATGTGTGTTTTTGATCCTGAGGTGAAATCCCGCACACTCCGTCCACAGTGCGGTGCTACGCGGTGATGTGCATTTCATGCCCTCTCACTCTCGTGTGTTACGAGTTCTCATGTTTCTCACGTCATGCAATAGCGGGACGAGCGCACTTGAAGCAGGAAACTCCTCGAAGATGTTGCGAAAACGCTGGGGGGCGATGTGGAGTTGCCCGAACCCTCTCGTTCCTACCCTGGAGCTTCAAAAAGCCACTATACATTCACTACATGCAGCCAGGCAAGGCTCAAGGGTTCACTTACGTCCCAGCTGTCGAACGCGATTCGACGCTAAGTTATTACTCTACATATCCATGTTTCTGCTGCTTGGGTATTGGTTTTGCATCTGCGGAGCTGTGACCCTACGCGGCTCTGACCGGAGCAAGATCCCAACTCTTTCCAGTTCTCAGCAGAGCGAAACCGATGCTGATCCCGGCATTGGCCAGAACACGACAAGATCGGAGGGGAGCGGTTACACGTACAACAGCAGCCAGCTCTCCATTCTGATCCCGGAGACGAGAGCTTTGGTGACATTGCCTGTTGTGGTGTTGCAGGCGCACACGCACTTCCCCGAGCTGCGAATACAGATCATGTGCGGCAGTGCCAACAAGGATTATGTCCGTGTGCAGAAAACTCTTGCGGCACTCCGGCAGAAAGGTGTTCTCCATCTCACGCCCATGCCGGGAGAAGCGTATGATGTCAGCCAGCTCGCTCACGACAAGGCCACCAATGTATACTCCAATTTGCTCATGTCACCAGAGTTTTGGCAGCTGATAACCACGCCAAAAGTGTTGCTGGCGCAGACGGACTCCTGGATTTGCAATGGGGCACACGAGCACCTCAAAGACTTCCTTCAGTATGATTACGTCGGGGCTCCGTGGTTCACACTCCAAACATCCAAAATCCACGCCGCCTGCCCCAAGAAGCAGGTGGGCAACGGTGGCTTCAGCCTCCGCGATCGCGAAGCGATGCTGAGGATCACCAAGTCGTTCCAACCGAATGGGCTGCTTGAGGATGTTTGGTTCTGCAGCCATCTGCAAGACTCCGATAAGCTGCCTTCTGAGGAAGTGGCAATACACTTCGCCAGGGAGACATTCGAAAAGCAAGAGACGAATCAGATGTCGGGCCCTACCGTGCCGCGAGTGGGTGTCCACAACCTTGGGTTGGACGCTACGGGGACCCGGAAATTCCGAGGGCCAGTGTCCCGGCGTGAGTCTCGTGAACCCTAGAGTTGGAACTCTTGACAACAGCGAAGGAACCCTTGGCGAAGCCATGATCCAGAGATGGAAACAGGAAGCCTTAGACAGTGGCAGTGGCATGCTGGACTCTGTCAGCCTGACGCTGATGGCCAAGATCTTTGCAGAGGAGCCGCGGCACGATCCTCTTTTGGTCCGCTTCCCTCGTGAAGCAACAGAGTCGTCAGCGAAATCAGTGAACTCGTAGGAGCCGATCCACATGTCCGGCTGACTTTCAGCAAAGCGAACTCTCAACATCAGATGCCTCGGATGATGCGTCGAAAATGAATGTCAGCGTCCTTTTGACCGCGGGAAGTGGGTGTTCACAATGTGGGCCTTCACTGAGCACCCATCACGAGCTGAACCCATAGCCATAGTCCCTGCGCAGAACCTGATCGAAACCAAACCCGATTCCGTTTTCGCGAGCGAAGGAACCGAAGCCAATCTGACCAGGTCTGAGCGGGGCACCGCCACATGGCTCTGAGAGCTTGCGAGGGGCGGCATAGTCCAGTTCAAGCTGTGGGAAGGAGAATGGCAGAGTAGCCCATTCCCAAACTCCGGGACACCTGTGTTTGACGTATACCCCTCTGACTCCTCCATGGACTGGCATGAAAAGAACGAATGTGTCATGATATGTCTGGTGGAATCTGGAAGCCCAAATGCAGCAGCGCAGTAGCAACATATGGAGTTGATCGCAAGACTTGCTGCTTCCTGCCGATTCTTTGGCTCGAAAGTCGCACACTGTATCCAATGTTACATTTGCTTGAGTTGCAATGGTGCTGCGCAGCTGTCACATCGCTTTGCATGCCGTGGCTATCGTCGGCAGCTTTGCTTTGATATGTTGTATCGCCTGGCAGCCATGCCTGCCACCGTCCGCGGCAAGCTGCCTGTAACAATGTGTAACAACCGTGCCGAGAACTACTCAGAAATGGTTGTTGCATCCCCATCCTGGCGTGTTCGTTGGACAGTTGGAGGCTGCAGTGCTGCTGTGCAGCAGGGACTGGTTGCTGCCGGAGCCCCGGATGATGAACGGAGACTTTGCTTCGGGGTTGTTTCCGGCACTGCCTTTAGATCGCAAGTTCTGACACACTTGTAACAGCTGTGCACCTGCTGCTGTTTATGTAGCATTGCCCATTTTTCTGTCAGTGTCAGGATATAAAGCATGTTCTGACTACTGCCGTTGTATAGCTGTACTTGGTAGCCCCTTTTGGCACGAGGTGAGTAAAATAAGTAGCCTGTGCCTGCGGTGTGTGTGGTTTGAGGGTTAACCTAAACCCTTGCATGGTAGCGGAGCCGGACGTCTAAGGGACTCCGTGCTCACCTTCTGCGGGTCGCCCCGCGAAGGTAAGGGACGCGGGCAAGCCCCGCTCCCTGGTGGTTGCGGGTCAGCCCCGCACCACACGTGACCGCGGGAAGTCCCGCGTCACAGGAACCAGCTGCGGGCCGATCCGCGCTGGTGTGGGAGCATAGTCCTCCCGAGTGCTGCTTAGGCAGCAGGTAGACCGCCAAGACGGCGGGTCGAGGTCGCGGCAAAGGAAAGCCGGTGACCAAGAAGAAGAACAAGAGGGGGAAAAGAAGTGAAGCGGCCACCTCTAGGAGGCAGGACCGCGGGCAGGCCAGAAGGCTTGCAGCCGCTGAGGAGCGGCAGGAGCCACCAAGAAGCCACAGGGCAGCCGCTGATCCCTCGGCCCGGGGGTCAGCTGAGGCAAGGGGCCGAGGTCGTACTCCGAGGCGGGTGGTTCTAACTTATAGCCTGGAGGAGGCTCAGGAGCGAGACCGGATCCTCGGGACGACCGCGGCCAAGAGCCAACCAAGGAAGCCCAGGCAGACAGAGGCTGGGTACGAGAAGATCAAGTGGAAGAAGGAGAGGCGACGAAGGAAGGAAAGGAGCCGCCTCGACCTTCGATCGGTTCCTCGGGAGGCTCAGGCAAATCGGGTCCTGAGGTCGGTAGCGCCGACACGAAGCAAGCAGGCTTCGGGGCGCAAGAGGGACTTAGAGGAGTTCCTGACCGAGCAATCCGCTCGCTTTGCGCAGCAGAGGTTCCGAGAGAGAGTGGAGACCCAGGAGGCGATCAGGAAGAGGCTTCCTAAGGGCAGTGTGGGCGAGGTATTGCTTAGGCAGCGGGTCGGCGAAGCTTGCAGTACCTGCAGGACCAGGCGTCGCAAGGCCGCCCCGGCTGTGCGCAACTACGTGCTTAGGAGGTTTTCTCCTAAGGCATTGGCCCAAAGGGTTGCGGAGGCCAATCGGCACCGCACCGAGCCCCGACCAAAGGGGACCGCTCGAAAGAGCAAGGCCAAACCAAAGGCCACATCAGCTCCTCTCCTGACGGAGGACGAGGAGAGCAGTGAGAGCTCGGATGGAGATGGAAGCGGGGTTGATTGGGACCCCCCAAGCTCCCCAGATGGCCCAACAGGCGGGCCAGGTTCCGCTGGAGCAACAGCTCCAGCAGCAGTTGCAGCAAACTAACCTGATGCTGCAGCAAATGAACAACAGGCTGGTGACTCAGGAGGCCCAGCTGTTGCAGCTGCAAGCGTCAGGATTGGCAGCCCGGGGAAGGCAGAGCACCTTCGATACCGACATGCCGGGCCCAAGCCATCCACCGGCCCCAAGGGCCGGCCTGGTAGACACCAGGCAACTCGGGAAGCCCGAGGTTTTCAAAGGGTCCACGGAGGAAAGCTTCAGTGACTGGTCGTTCATCTTTGAGTCTTACCTTAGCTGCATCGACTCGAGGTACATTGACCTGCTGGAGCAAGCAAAGTTTTCCAAGAAGAGCTTCCCAAACAGGGCTCTTTCGGATGTGGACCGGGACCTTTCTTGCCAACTCTATTATATCTTGGTGATGCTCCTGCGCGGTAGGCCGCTTGACATCACTTACAACACGGGCCTCGGAGAAGGTCTTGAATCCTACCGGCGCATCTTTGAGGAGTTCCACCCGAGGGTTGCGTCACGCTATGTGGGCACTCTCACAACGTTGCTTTCAAGCAAGTTTGGTGATGATGTTGAGGGGGACTTAGCGGCCTTCGAAAAGAGCGTCCGGAGGTATGAACAGGAGAGCGGCAAAACACTGGATGAGGAGATGCTTTTGGGCATTGTGGTGAATGGGCTAAAGGACAGCAGCCTGCAAAGCCACATCATCCGGAACTCAAGCCGGCTCAAATCCTTTACGGATGTGAAGGCGGAACTTTTGGAGATTTCGAGGACCAACCGCGTCCTGCAGAATCTCCCGCAGCCAATGGACCTTGGAGCTGCACCGTGGAAAAAGGGCAAAGAGAAGGGCAAGGGCAAAGACAAAGGCAAAGGCAAAGGCGACAAAGGGGGTAAAGGCCAAGGCTCAGACAAGCAAAAGCCCCAAGGCGCAAACCCCAACAAGGACCGTGAGTGTTGGTACTGCCATAAGAAAGGGCATGTAGAAGCCGAGTGTCGCAAGAAACAAGCCGATGCCAAAGCCAAGCCCAAAGCTAAAGCAAAAGGTGGCGGGAAGAACCGCACACCTCATGCGGCTAGCCCCGCTGAGGGCGAGGAGGAACCAGAGCCCATGTCTGCATCGCCTCAGGAGCCGGACCTTTGCTTTGGTGTGGTGGCGGCAACGCCCAGCACCGAGGCCAGTGAGACCGAGGTTCTTGTAGATACGGGGGCAGGGTCTCACCTGTTTCGGAAAGGGTTTGACTCCGGTGCTTTGTTGGGTTCTCGTGTTTCGGGGCCTGGAATGGTTACCGTTACGGGTGAGCCCTTGGCTAGCGACCAGAGGCTTAGGAGCCAGCTCGAAACCAGTGCTGGGACCTTTTCGGTAGAGTACGCCGAGTCTGAAAAGGTTAGGTTTTCGGTGCTTTCTGCTGGCCAAGCGGCCACGAAAGGCACCTGGACGGTGATTGGCCCCGGTGTGCAGTGTATGGTTCTAGATAAGCATGCGTGTAAGCTTAGGAAAGCCCTAGGAGAGACCAAAGACACGATGCAACTCAGAAAGAAGAGAGGGGTATTTTGGCTCCCAGTGAACGTGGTGAAAGAAAGTGAAAGGGTTGAAGACCCAGACGTGTTAGCAGCTACGAGGGCTGCTAAGAAGACGGTGCCAGCAAAGGCGCTGGCAGGTGAAGGCGAGGAGCCTGGTGAAGCGGGTGACTCCGCTCAGCCGGGCCAAAGCTCAAGTGCGGGCGGCCCCGCCGATGCGGGGAGTTCCGCTGCGAACCCTGGTGCGGGTAACTCCGCCGGCGCAGGGAGTTCTACTGACGGCCCTGGCGCGGGTGGCCCCGCCCAGAGGCTTCCGGAGATTGGCGACGTGCCAATGGAAGTGTCTGAGGCCACGCGGCGGCCGAAGACAAAGAAGATCCCGGACACGGTTAGCAAAGCCGAGTTTGACGAGCATATGCTTACGCATCTGCCCATGCGAAGCTGGTGCGATCACTGCATGCACGGCAAGGTGCGTGAGGATGCGCACTCAGCTCGGGAGCCCAGCGGTCGCGCGTCGGAGGTGGCGCGCATCTCCCTGGACTACTGTTTTCTGGGACGGGCCTTGAAGGGCCCAGTGAACTCCGTGGAGGAGGTCAAGGTGCCTCAGGATGAGAAGGATGGTCTCCTTCCCATTCTGGTGATCGTGGACGAAAAGTCCGGTTGTGTTTTCTCTGGTGTGGTGGCTAAGGGCGTTAACCCGTATGCCACTGGATTGGTGACTGAAGCGCTCAAGTTCTGCGGGCGCCAAAAGGTCATCATGATGAGCGATGCTGAGCATAGCATCCGGGCACTTGCTGAAAGTGCCGCCAAGTCCTGGACTGGCAGCGTGCAGCACCAGACTGCACCGAAAGGTTCTCACGCATCTAACGGCGCGGCCGAGCGAGCCATTTTGGAGCTGGCGCGTCAGGTGCGAACTCTTGCGAGCGCGCTGGAGAATCGCTACAAGAAGCCCCTGGAGACTGAGGGGGTTGTCTTTCCGTGGTTGGTGCGGCACGCAGGGTGGCTCATCTCCCGTTTCTTGGTGAAGCAGGACGGGAGAACACCTTACGAAAGGCTTCGAGGCCGGGACTTCCGCGGTGAAGTTGCTGAGTGCTGCGAGGTCGTGCACTACAAGCTTGACAAAGAGAAGACTGGCAAGCTGGACAAGCAAACGTCAGTTGGAGTTTGGCTAGGCAAGTCTCTTGCCTCCGACGAGCACTTCCTGGGCACTGCTCAGGGGATCCGTCGGTGCAGAAGCATCTGGCGAAGGCCAGAAGAGAAGAGGTGGGAGCTGAAACACCTCGAGGGGATGGTTGGGCTTCCCTGGCAACCGCGCGGAGAGCCAACCACCGTGCCTTCAGACAACAAGGCCCCAGCGACTCCAGGTCGCAGGCAGCCCTCGGTGTATATCACCTTGGAGCGTCAGATCAAGCACGGCAAGACACCCGGATGTCCTGGCTGTGAGTGTGACGATGACAACCCAAAGCGGCACAACGACGAGTGCCGTAAGAGGTTCGAGAAGTTGTACCCGAGGCAACCGGTGCCAGGAACGCCTGGTACACCAGTCCCTGGGACGCCTGCGGGACCCATGGAGACTGAAGGAGGTCAGGCCGAGATGCCCCAGGGCACCGGCCAAGACTTGGAGTCGGGAAGCACCGAGCCGAGTCAGCCTTCAAGGCCAAGGGCCATGGAGGGGACCTCTGAGGCTAAGTCAGGCCAGAAGCGAGAGGTTGAGGATGCGGGTGTCCCCGCTCCTTCAAGTGACAGCGGGCAGCGCCGCGTTACTGGAAAGAGCTCACAAGGAGCGAAGAAGCAGAAGACGCCAGAAGCAAGAGGTGAAAAGCGTCCTCTTGAGGACCAGGAGTTGATGGGGGGACTGCCCACGCTCCACGAGAAAGGCGAGTGGGAGCCTTTGTTTGCTTACCCTCTGGACGGCAGAGTGGAGGAGCTTGGTGCCTACGACGAGCGAACAGGCCAGCCCCTTCCCGTTGACAAGGTCAAGACTGCAAGAGGGCGCGAGCTGGACAAGATGGAGGAACACTCTGTCAAGAAGGACATCTCTTGGGAGGAGGCGCGACGGCAGGGGCTAAAGATAGTCCGAAGCCGGTGGGTGGATGGTTGGAAACCATTGCCCAATGATCCGAATGGGGTGCGCAGCCGCTGCGTAGCCCAAGAGATCAACGACCACGAGCGCGACGACGTTTTCAGTGGAACACCGCCGTTGCGGACGCACCGCATGGTACTTTCAGCTGCAGCCACTGCAAAGACTGGCAGGACCAACCGGCGCAAGCTTATTGCCCGGTATGATGTTTCTGTTGCCTTCTTTCATGCGGTGGCCACGGGCAAAATTGCGGTCGTCCCTCCGAAAGATCTCGATCAATCGAAGCTCTGGTACTTGCTCAAAGCCATGAATGGCACACGTGAGGCTTCGCGACAGTGGTCAAAGCGCGTGTGTGAGGTCATGACGGAGGCAGGTTTCTGGGAGGTTCCAGGAATCCCTGGCCTCTTCTACCACGACGAGTGGTGTGTGACCTTGAGCTGCCACGGCGACGACTTTATCGCTGAGGGCGAAAGCGACGATCTGGATCGACTGGATGCGCTGATGATGCAATCCTTTGAGAGCAAGATATTGCCACGGATTGGCCCTGAGGAGTTCGGAGGCCAGACCACGCATGGCGATCATCTGCACCGCATCATTCGATGGAGCGAGCGCGGGTTCACTTGGGAAGCTGATCCTAAGTACTCGCGGCAGATCGTTGAGGAGCTCGGGCTTACGGACGCTAAGAGCGCAGACGCCCCATGTTCTACGGAATGTGGGAAAGGCCGCAGGGATCTCGAAGATCCTTTGGACGCTGAGGCTGCAGCGAAGTTCCGGAGACTCGCTGGTACTGCGCTTTACCTGTCCCAGGATCGCCCGACGATCCAGTATGCCTTGTCGGAGATCACCTCTGGCATGGCAAAGCCTACGGTTGAACACGAGCTCAAGCTCAAGCACCTAGGCCGTTACCTTCTGAAGTACCCGAAGGAAGTTTGGCACTACGAGTACCAGGAGCAGCCTGAGGAAGCTGTGGTGCTTACGGACTCGGACTGGGGAGCGTGCAAGCGCACGCGCAAGTCTATGTCCAGCTACGCTGAGAGATTTGGGAAGCATCTCATCGATGCTTCGTGTGCCAAGCAATCGGTGATAGCGCTCAGCTCTGGAGAGGCTGAGTTTTACGCGTTGGTGCGAGGAGCTGCCGCCGGACTGCTGACAGCGCAGATCTGGGAACGGATTGGGTTTAAGGGTTTGAAGCTTACCCTGAGAACCGATTCGAGCGCAGCGAAGGGAATCGCGACACGCAAGGGCTCGGGCAAGGTGAAGCACTTGTCCATGAAGGAGCTTTGGATACAGGACTGTGTTCAGAGAAAGCAGCTTACGGTGCAGAAGGAACCTACGAAGAGTAACTGGGCCGACTTGGGCACGAAAGCTCTTTCAGGCTCAAGAGTGACAGAGCTAGTCAAGGGCATGCCTCTCACAAGGGGCTTGGTCATGGCGTGCCTGTTCGCGTCCTTTGGCGTGGCTACGGGGCAGCCGAAGGAGCGCCAGCTCGAGACTGAAGACGTTTCCTTCTTCATCTACATGCTGATCATCCATATCTTGGCGATCCAGACCATTTGGCGATGGATCAAGTTTGCGTTTGTGTGGTGGACCACGCCACGTGTTTCAACGAAGCCGGCCCCTACAGCTGGAGGCCGCGTGGACCGACGAGGTCTAGAGGCGAATGCGGGTAGCCCCGTCTACGTCACCCGTAAGGGCAAGAAGTTTCATAGGAGACACTGTAGACACCTGGGCCAAAACCCGTACACGTTGCAGAGGGCTGAGGCTACGCAAAGAGGCTTTGGTCCTTGTACAGACTGCAACCCGTGAGTAGTGCAGGTCAGCTGTCCAGCTCAAGGATTCAGCTGGCCATGGAGGGGTGTCAGGATATAAAGCATGTTCTGACTACTGCCGTTGTATAGCTGTACTTGGTAGCCCCTTTTGGCACGAGGTGAGTAAAATAAGTAGCCTGTGCCTGCGGTGTGTGTGGTTTGAGGGTTAACCTAAACCCTTGCAGTCAGGCAAAACTTAAAGAGAAATCATGATTACCCGTAATGGAGGGCACTAAATGTCCAAGATGTCCGTTCTGATATCAACACCGATAGCGGCCAACTTTAAACTGTTATCTACTATGCCTGCAAAATCCACAAGGTACCGCCTGACGGGGTATTGTGGTTACACATAGTCGACTGTCAACAGCACTAATTATCGTCCTCTCTAGGTTGAGCAAGGGTCCAATAGGTTTTGACTGCCACTCCCCGCGACATAGGACCTCATACTATCTTATGCTTCTGCATCGTACTGCTGCACGAATGGGTGACTCGTTTGATCACTGCTTGTACAGCCTTTGCAAGTTTTACTTAAACAAAATCCAAAACGGCAAGCCCTTTCCCTCGTACTCTTCCTAAATCCAGGACTGTAAGCCCCCCTGCCGCATACTTTTCTTAAATCCAGGACGATCAGCCTCATACTCCTCCTGAATCCAGGACAAATTATAAATCCCCCCCGCCCCCCCACCCCTCTGCCCCCCCATGTTATCGAACCGGACTCCTGGCTGTGGCTGGGAGCCAGCGAACTTTCCATGGAGCAACAGCTGGGACAACACACGTCTCAGTTTGCTGCGACTGTTTACACCCTGAAGCCTTGTCTCTGTATCTAGAGCACCCGTGGGCTGACAGGAGGCCAGGGTGCGACCCCAGTTAGCATCGCATCATGGACTGTTCAGGCGATGACAATGCGACAGAGCACGAAAGTCAAACCCGCAGTTCCGTAGCACCGAGAATGGGCAGGATGCTCGCGAGCGCGTCTCTGAAGACGTGGCTCTCCTGCAGAGTTCCTCGCCATGCATACAGGCTCGAAGCTTTTGCTTGAATTGTCTTGGGTCGCGATTTTCACTACTATGAGTCTAGATGGGTCTTAGTCGTGGTCGTAGCGGCTGCCGGCAGCAGGGATAAAAGGTGGGGCTCCCTCAGGGATTCGGGAACCTCGGAGGAGCGGGGCCTTAGTGGGCTTCGCCTTCGCCTGGGGCCTGCATGATCTTCTGGCGGAGGCGGTAGTGCCGCTGTAGCTATTGTTGAAGCATTCTGGAGGCTCTGATCCGTGCAAAGTACGTTTGCCGCAATTCGCGTCGCCTTATCCAGCATCGTCGACTCGGCAAGCGGAGCTCGGTCCGAACGGTAACGCAGACTGGAAACCTAGTTGTTTCTTGAGTGGGTCCGCGACATCCTGACGGCAGAACCGATTCTGTGCAACAAACCCTTGAGAAAAAGAACAACGCTGTAAGGTTCCAGAGCCGCGACCTTCAGAGGAGACACGGATGCCCCGGAGGCCGCAAGATTCTGGAGCTTCGTGCTGCGATGCCAGCTATGCCAGAAAAATAATGCAACATACGTTTGAGCAGCCGGCTAGATGGCTTATGGGCAGGTATAGTTTGATGGATGTAGAGGCGGAGGCAGGTGAGAGCGCCTCAGCCGTCTACCCAGACCCAACATGTTGCGGAGGAGCCGGCAAACTTGAGGCATGCCGTACGTGGCATGCCAATGTCAATGCAGTGTCCAAATGCACATGGTGAAAATGACTGCAATTTCAAGGTGTCTCGGCCTGCAAGCGCCCGCACTAGCACGAGCAGTAGCACTAGCACTAGCACTAGCACGAGCACTAGCACCAGCAGTAGTAGTAGGAGTAGGAGTAGGAGTAGGAAGGAGTAGGAGTAGGAGTAGGAGTAGGAGTAGGATTGATTTACCATTAGCAGGAAGGGCCAAAGCAAAACAACAAGAATCGCCGGGCCAGAAAGATGCACGGTAGACTTTGCCAGAAAATTCATTGAGAAATGAGTAGGCCCCCGAAAACCGCTTCATAGAAGCCCACTTACAAAACCACACTGCCACTTGACCGCGCATCTTCCGAGGAATACAATTGCACGAGGTTGGGCGAACAAACAGCTGCTCGAAACTCAATTGATGGGGGCACAGGGATGCTGCGAGAGGTGCAGAAATCAGTGATTACCCAAAACCGAGGTGACGAATGGCATGGCCATCCGGCCGTCGACATGTTCTTTGTCCCAGCTGGCGCAGAATCCGTCCGCGAAGATGTATGCCATACAGAGACATGATGGGGCTGGTACCCGCATCGGACAAACCGTGCTGAGCTTGGCATACGCAGCCCAGAACAACATGAATTTTGGCGGTTTTTTCCCGGACCCAATCGCATGCACTACACGGAGTTGACGACATGTCAAGAGCCATGAGTGCTTTCTTGGGTTGCAACTATTCGGAAATGGTGGTGCACGCCAACACGTATCAGTTTGATCGTTGTTGGAACGGCAGAGATACGCTTGGTAATGTCAAGGATGGCGAGGAGATCCTTCTGGCAGAATGCAATGGTATTTCGTGCCGACGAGACCTGGCGGTTCTCACCTTACCGTTTCTGTCCGAGCTACGGAAGTCCACCTCACTTCTGAGGCATGCAACACCTTACTTCACAGGGAAGGGAATGAAGGTCGTCATTCATATACGCCGAGGGGATCGAGTCCCAAAGGGCCCCGTCGATCTTGCAAGGAAGGTGAACGGCCAGCACTACGCATCGGACGCCTTATACCTGGATTTCTTGCGAATGTTCCGCAGGCGTGTGCAGAACGTCGATGTTCATATCATCAGCACAACGGAGGATGGTTTTCCCAGCCAAAACTTCGATGTCTACAGAAACCTTGGTGTGCAAGTTCACTTGGATGGTGATATCATTGATGATTGGGCTCACATGACTCAGGCCGATTTGCTTCTCATTGCTCCCAGTACCTACTCGTGGGTAGCTGGCCTGCTCAACGAAACTTTGCTTAACCTCGAAATGTTTTCTGTTCTATTCAAAGAGCTGCAGAGCTAGCCGGCTGTTGGCTACTAGGGATGCAGAAGCAATGCAGGAGAAGTGTGTTGCAATTTTCAATTTCTTTCAGTACCCCATCCTGTTGGACTGGATTGAACTGAGCGCCGACTTGCACGAGCTCAAGGACGTGGAGAGCTGCCTTTCAACTAAAGGACGCTAAAGGTTGCTGGACAGAGCAGGCCAATTGGAGCCATGAGTGTGCCCAAATGTTGCTGCGTCGAAAGGACATGAAAGTGCTTCCGTTTAGTCGTGCAGCTCCACTTCCAACTTCGCCTCCACTTCCAACTTCGCCATTATGGGCCAATCGCGAGTCTCTGTTCCCAAGCTCACCCTTCCTAAGTGCATACTTCATGGGCACCTAACAGATCACCACTGCGCAGTAGTTATGTCCGGTTGCAGCTAGTTGTGATGGGTCCTGGTTCTTATGCTTCATCTTACCGATGGTGATTTCGGACGTGATGCTTCCTTGTCGCTGAAGAGTGCTTGGGAGGTGTTATACTACCGTAAAGCATGACTTGTGTGAATTTGTCGCATATGAGTATGGTGCGTGGCCGCTTCGGATTCTCGTTTCGAAGCTTTCTGCCGTCCAAGTCTTTGGTCTGGTTGTGGCACACTTGATCCGCAACTCCTGTGGAAGCAATGGTTGACAGGTGCAGGTCGCACATGCTGGCTCACACGGCCAATCGTGGCTGCACCGTGGTTTTTTCGTCTGCTCTTTCGCTACACGTGGCGGATGTTCGGCTGCCGCTGCTTTCAGAGTTGCTAACGGCAGCCGCCAAAGAAGCCCGTGTCCACTTGTTTGACTGTACCTTTCAGATACTGTGTTGCACTTGGATGTTGGGAAGCACTGCGGTCGAGGACTCGTGAAAACGACCACGTTACAATGACCTGTGTATCCGCACGTGACCCTTGAAGGCCGAATGGCCCTGATAGAAGGCCTTGTTTCCGTGTTAGCAGCCCTTGTCCACCCGAGTGTGGTAGATGTGGCGCTTAATTCGTTTTCGCTCGGGCATGACAAGGCTGCAGGGGGGGTGAAAGGAACTGAAACGTGAATTTCGGGTGAAATGACCCCAGCGGCTCAGCTAAAAAGCTGACCGAGTGCAGCATGTAGCAATCGTTGAGTTACGGTGACACCAGTACGGTGACGTTTGCTCAAGCAAAGGTCATTTATTCGTACTTCAACTTGTTGCGGTTGCGTGTGTTCGTGAAGTTTGACCCCGGCCCACTGCTTTCACTTGCTGAGTTTGTGGTCTTGCTTTTTTCTTTGCTCCCGCCACAGTCCGGACCGTACTTTTGAGTGTTGTCGGGGTAGAACTTGTGCCACAGTCCCGTGCATTTTTTGGCCTTCAAACCGCTCGAAGTCGGTAAAGTCCAAGCAAGGGCTCCACTGTTCCCCTCCGCCCCCATCCGTTGCATGAAGGTTTGCAGTAGCGTGTGCAGATCAGATGTCATGTGTGAACTTGGCTACATTAGGTAAGTGCGTTATTATTGCAAGTTACAGTTACATCATCTTCTAGGGGCAGGGCCAGGCCGGGATGATTCCTACAAGACTCCGTCTGCCGGGCCTTCGGTCGCAATGACGAGGTGGCGTGCTGGGCTTCACATTCGGCATTTTTCTCCTGTGCATAGCTGTGTCTAGCGGTTAAAACTGGTTGGAAAAGAAGCAGTGGCATCTGACTAGGAAACGCTCCCGTCCGTGACAAGGCCAATGCACACTCACCTGTAACACTGAGATATATGGACCAAGCAAACAACCATCCGGTGAAAGCTTCCGTACAGTTTTTCTGCAGTCCCGCCTATCTGACTTTCGAGCGACCCCATTTAGCTGTTGAGCGCGCCTGTAAATCTACAAGCTTTGCGACGAAACCGGTGGGTTTATTCGAGGCCAGGTGGCAGCATGGAAAAAAACATGGCGAAAAAGCGTGCGCGACCCTCACCGCAGCAATGCCATAGAAGAGGTTAGGCCCTAGGCTCTTCGAGGTGACTGTGAAAAAGCTGTCAGCAAACGCATGCAAACAGCCATCCGAAACCCCCTTCGGCTGCACGTGCCTGGATTCAAAGAAGCTCGTTTTCACGATGAAGCTTGTCGGGGTCCTTAACAAGTGAGTCGTGGCGCGCACCCGATTGTATAACCGAGGTATTGAACTTGAACCATCGACCTCGCTTTGTAAGCTCTTTGGAAGTTGCGGGAAAAGCTTCCTACGGAGCACCCTCAACGCCGCATTCACCACCCAACCGACCAAACCTTCATGAATAATTAAGATGTTCTTTCTGATGCTTGCTCTCATTGTTTTGCTGTTCATCTGGATGGTCTTGAGACCAAGTCATGGTGTCGCTGTTAGTGAAGATTGTGCTATCAGGATCCACGGCCACGTGACGATGTTGATTTGTGCAACTACAAGCAGAGGTCAACAGGTTCTGAATTGGGGCTATGCATGCTCGAAGTTTCGCAGAACGCTTTGTGTACATCAGTTACGAGTACAACGGATGATCAGCTTTCAGACCCCCTGCAATATAGAGCTGCACTAGCTGCAGTGTTTCTTGTTTTAGATTGTATTGCGTGTTGCTTTGCTGCTTGCAGGGATCATTTGCGAATCCAGAAATTCGCTGATTAAACATTAAAGCGCTAACCGAAGAAATAAAGTGACAATATCGACCGGATTGCTGACGAAGTCCGAACCTCAGAGCCAAAATCGAACACCCAAAGGCCTCAATGACCTGGTTCTCGAGTTTTGCTGACCTCGAGACTCGTGCATGACTAAGCTGAGTTGTAGGTGGAGATAGGGTTTGCACAGAAGTGAACGACCGTGTGAAGGACAGAAGCACCGTTTTCAGAGGGATGAACTTTGGTCAGCAAGGTTCACAACACTGGCCGACATGCACCAGCATGGGGCACCTCGCCCGCAGCTAGCTATGCTGCTTCTTACATCGGCGTGCCAAGACTCTTTCGACGTAAACACAAAGCCCGTTACACCCCCGTTTGCCTGACTCCTCGCGTTGGCGTCGGCCTGGCTCGAGCTTGCAGTGAAGCCGCCGGGACCTGCGGCTGCTTCGCCTGCGAGGACAGGGCTGCATGAGTGGGATCACGCCCAATCCTCGCAGCTTGGATTTGCGTCCCGATGTTCCATCTTCGTATTGCTGCCCTTAGTTGTTTGCTTGAAGTCGTCGTGGTCACGGATAGTATTTGTTCACTCCTTGCCCCATGTTGCAACTGGTGTTGTTTCTCATGTCGGTAACGTAGACAGGCAGGTAAGGTATATGGCGCTGTGTTTCATCATATGCATGCAATTAGGGCACGTATGTATGAATGAATGCATGAATGCATGTATATGTATATATGGAAGTCGGTCTCTGTGTGTGTGTGTGTGTATGACTGCATGCATGTATATTATGTATGCAACCGTGTAGTATGCATGCACGTATGTCTGTGTGCCGGCAGCTACGTGTGTATGCACACATGTTTGTGAGTGCATGCCTCTGTACGAATGTAAAATGCTCTATTACACAAATGTGTGTGAGCACCTGCATGTATGTACAGTTGTATCATGCGAGCACAGGCAAAATTGCTACTTCATTTTCACGCGTTGCTTCCTCGTTATGTGCTCCTGGGGTTCCAACATGTGTTCTTTGCATGGTAAGCATCAAGGCAACTCGACGAGCGGAAGCTCGTCCGTATGAGAAAGAGCAACACTTGACAGAGCTCTTCTGCGATACAAAGCAGCCCGCACTCTATGGCACAAGCCCGACCAAAGATGCACATGCAATAACCTAATTAGCCAGTCTCAACAAATGAAACACAACAACAAAAGAAGTGCAATCAACAGCCAGTAGGAGAATCACATTCAAAGGGAGTTCGGGGTTTCATGTTTCTTTCATCATGGCCTCTCCAGTGTTGCCTGTGACTTCTATTGCCTTCATCTGGTGTTGTCTCTTGTCTTCTGTGGCTTGTTAGCTGTTCGGTTTCCTGATACAGTAGTTTATAAGAGTTTCAAAAGCTAAGTTCAGAAGCCGTCGTCACATTACCATGCCACGAACTGGGGGCATGAATTTCAATACAGCTTGATTTGTTGTTGTTTTGATATGTCTATCTACCCATCTCCGATCTGTTGGATTCTGCCCACTTCATTCATCCGCATTATTGCTGCCAGACATTTCTGAAGAGTCAATCTGGAGCATCCAATGTTGACCTGCTGTCGTGGAGGCATCATGGCTCCGGTTGCTGGTGCAGGAGGTCCGGCCACGCGGGTTGCAGGTGTCATGCTTCAGGCTAAAACTTGACTTGTAACTTCGGGGTCTTTCGACTTAGCAGTTGTTGCTTGGCGTCCATCTTGCAGGACAAATGTATTGTTTCTGTTGCAGTGGCCAATCGTGAAACCGGTGCTTGGCCATTTCCGAGACTGGTTCGCACGCATGTTGTTGTGTATGGCTTTGGTTGGGCATGGGCTGCATCACTTCAGCATGTGTTTCCGTGAGCGCACATCTTTCTACCTATCTGTGATGATCTGTGTTCATGTACCTTTCTAATGTGATTATTGTCTGTCTGTGCACTTGCATTCGTATGTCTATATACCGACACAAAGAGAAGCATGGGCATTTCTCAAGTGTGTACGTCTGTCTGTATGTATGTATGTATGTAAGATGTATGTGTGTAACATGCATGCAGCTTGTTTGCCTGCTTGCTCGCTCGCTTGCCTGCTTGCCTCCTCTCATACATACAGACAAGCATACGAGCATATATGCAAACGTACATATCCCTCCCTCCCTCCTTCCATCCATGCATGTGTGTATGGAAGTTGTATTTGTGTATTGTATACCAGTAGCTGTTTTGTCTATCTGTCTGTCTGGCCAGCTTGTCTGTCTGTCTGTCTGTGTGTCTGCCTCCATGTATGTATGCACGTATGTACGTATGCATGTATGTATGTATGTAAGTGTGTACCTGTATCCTAGTGGACTCTTGCATGTTATATCATACTAGACCTTACCGAGCTAGGTTGTCCTAATACGATACCATACAACATTAGTGCAGTAAGCGTTTGTTTTGGATTCGGTGTAAAATTGTATCGGTTGATCTTGTAGAATTAGATGATTTGTCTTCTTTTGTGCCGTCATTGTTATGCAGTAAGAAAGGACAGCGTGTTATTCGGCTTTTTCTTAATGTATGATAAATTTAACTTGACAACCCTTAAAAGTAATGAAACGGTTGGTTTCTACGGACCATATGCATGTGAGTGCAATTAGCCGGAGAAGCCGTATTGCACGTAGGGACGCTTCGAAGGTACGTACGGGGCTGTGGTAAATCAGGGGCGTTCAGACGGTACATACAAGTGGTTGCGTTAAGTCGTCCCGCCCTGTGTAAACATCCCTTTTGCGCGTGGACATGGGGATAAGCATGTCCTAGCCCTATGGAGTTGATGAGGCAATATTCGTAAGTAGTCATGAAGGTTTGGCTGGTGGTTGTTTTAGATGGGTTTCAGCGCCTGTTCGTGATCTCGCCGCTTGGCTTCTCCTTACGTGTAGATGGGGATTCAGATGTCTCACGCTCGAATTTCAAAGGTTGCTGGGCTAGACTGTCCGGAATGTATGTGTTTTGTAAACATCTTGGGGCGGCGCCTACTTGCGGAACGCACAAATCGCCTGCCGGTGCTATATGCTTTGTAACACCTTCTGCGACGGCGTCTACTTGCAAAACTGTCGAGCAGGCTGTCTGGGATGTGTGTTTTGTAGCCGTTTCGGCGTCCGCATCTACTTGCAGAAAAGCGTGTTCTTGTGAAATCGCGCCTCTACTTGGGGAACAAGGAGGTTGGTAGGGTGGATTTGTTTCGGGAGGGCCATGATATCACACCCGAGGGTATCGTTCAACCTGATGTTAAACTTGAAAGCGTGGAGGGAGCGGGTGGTGCATCCCTCGCGCCAGCGGGTGCTTGTGAAATCGAGCGTGTGCATGCGGAATGGCTGGTTTTGAAGTACTGTGATTCTACTGCTGTTTGTGTTGAGCGGGTGCCCTTGAAATCGAGCGGCTACATGGGGAACGGCTGGTTTTCCTCAAGTCTCTGTGCGCCATGATGCCAATGATGTGTGTCTTGAGCGGGCGCTGGATACATGTCTGAAAGCGCGTGCATATGGTGATTAGCTGCCGGGCTGGCAGACTTTTCAGGGCATACTCCAAAGAAAGCCCGCGCGCGGCACGCGAAATCCTAAATTGACGTCTGCGCCAGGAATGTGCTTGGAAGCGTGTGGCCATGCGGAAAGCGTTGTGCAGCTATGCATATATGGTTTTCCTGTACATTTTCATTACTTTGTCGCACGGCATCAGAGGAACAACATTTGCAGTTATATTGTCTGCATTCCACATAAAATCCAACACTCGAAACATAGTTTATTATACTTGCCTATTAATACTATGTCTGACCATCCATTGTATTATGTTGTCTTATAGCTTGTTATATCAGCTCATGGTCTATTACATATTCTGCTGTGATAGGGTCCATTATGTCATTTTGTTTCCATTACACTCTGTTGTAGTAAGAAACATAGCCTGCGTCGTGTTGTAATGACAATCGCTAGCGTGGATGGCGGGATTGAAGGTGTCATCCCGTGGCCATTTTGGTCTCAAGGGGTGATACCCGATTTTTGAGGGTCATCTCTGGACAGGTGGGGGTGATACATGGACCTGGTGGTCGTCCCGAGTAGACTTGAGTGGAGCCTCGCCATTGGTGGGCCGCTCGTGGTCTTGAGGGAGAGCACCGGGGCCGAGTTGATCCTCCTTAGCTTGTGCTTTGGTGTTTGGGCCCTCGGATTCTGCTGTGGCTGTGCTTGCTCTCGCCCTGGAGCGAGTACCCCGGCAGGCCGGACCCCGCCGACACCTCCCACTGGCCCGGTGGACCGTTGGGCACTGGTAGCCCAGAGGGCCATCAACTTCGTCAGGAGCCGGCGCAGGCTCTCTTTGGCCTTTGCCCACCTGGGAAGCTACAGCCTCCGGAACGCTCCGGTCCGGGCCCAACTTGAGAAGGCGGTCCGTCCGCCGAGCAGCCACTCCGGGGCCCATCTTGCACGAGGGTCCGGCGTTGGACCATGGACCCTACCGAGGCGGAGCTCCAAGCGATAACCGACCTCCCCGGGGTGTTCACGTGGGCCGGAGTGTCCGGGATACTGGAGGCAGCCTTGAGGGAAGACCCAGCTCGCGTCAGAGAGCTGGCCCTCATCCCTAGGGCTGCTTGGGACGCTATGGTGGCCGGCCTACAAGTCAGGCCTTTGGACGCCGACGGCAATGCAGGCCCGCCGCGAGACCTCACCCTCGTCGAGAAGGCCCGGCTGGAATCTACAAGGCGTGTCGCTCTGCTTCGCATGCGGGTGACTCCGGATCTTCCCGGTGGGGCCGGTCCACCCACACCGACCCCGGCTCCTGGCCCTGGGCCGAGCACTGGGGGCTCACCGTCCGGAGCCCGGCGCCTCAAGCTGTCGTCAGTGTTGGATCCGACGTTGGACGCTGACGTGGCGCCTATGGGACAGAGCGAGCTCCAGCAGCTCTACACGGACTATAAGGCGAAGTATGGAGACTTCCCCAGTCCGGAAGCGGATCCCTCGGCTGACCAGCTGGCATCCCTTCGTCAAGTGGTCGTGGCGGGGTCGGTTCCCTATGCCGACTTTTCGCTCTTCGGACCACATGGGCTCCGCCTGCTTCGCAAGCAAACGTTCACGTCCTACACCTTGAACGTTGCGACAGGCGAGTGGTCGAAGAAGGAGCAGCCGGGGCCTGCCACCTACCACGCATGGGTGGAGGCGTGGAAGGTGTTCCGCACCGCTCTCCTGCTTCTGGAGGTGGCGGACGCGGAGAGACTTGACGCGCCGAGCACGTCCGCTCCTTCGTGACCCAGTTCTCCGATAGCTGCTGGTGGCTCATCTACAAGGCGGAGAACCGCTTGAGGTGTGAACACCTGGAGCGGTTGCGGAGGGCCCTTGCGGAGAAGCCAGAGTTCGGCTTTACGGCGTCGCGACCTTGGAACGCCTGCTTTGCAGCAGCCGTCCGGGACAGCGAGTACTGGACGCGCGAGCTGGTTACCCCAGCCACGCTTTGGTTAGTAGCCCAGCGACAGCCGGGGTCCGGAAGCGCTGATGGAGGTGGCGGGGGAGGTCGACCCAATGCCCCGACAAGGCGACCATCCGACGACGAGGCGCCCAAGAAGAAGAAGAAGAAGAAGCAGAAGAGATACGAGGGCGAGGACCACAGCGTCAAGAAGGACGGCATCTACACGGTGAACCGGCGTGGCACCCGCATATGCGAAGGGTACAACCGGGGAACCTGCGGAAGCAAGAAGCCTCAAAGCAAATGCAAGGACAAATGAGTGCAATCGATGCCTCGGGCCCCACCCGGCAACAGATTGCACGAAGGCCTGACTTGCATCTGCCGACGCTGACGCCGCCTCCTCTTCGGCTCCGGCCGGGGGAGGGTCGGCAGCCCCGTCGCCGCCCGGCACTACGCACGGGGGGGCGGTTCGTTAAACCCACCCCAAAGGTGAAGGCCACGCCGGCAGAGGACGAAGAGGCAGTGGTGATGCCGCGCCTTCTGCCACCACGACCATAGCCGAGGAAGACCGGCCGAAGCCACCGACACTCGCTCGGAAAGCTACCGCGGCACCCTCGGCTCCGGCCCGCGCGGTCCGGCCAAAAGCTACAGCCACCCAAACAGCCAGCACCAAGAGCCTCCTTCGGATACCCCCGTTGGCTTCTGCCTGGCCAGACTACGAGCCGCTAGCCAGGGGGCCCAGGGAATATGGCACCTGGATGGAGAAGCCCTCGGACACCTACGTGGAGCGACCGTGGGCCCTGGTGTTGTTCAGCGGCCGAAGGCGCAGAGGGGACCTCCCGAACTGGCTGGTGCACTACGGCTTCATGGTGTGCTGCGTGGACTTGGTGGCCGACACGCCCTGCAATGTCCTGGACGAGGCGCAGTGGAACCCGGCAGAAAGGGACATCATAGACGCCAACTTCGCAGTGGTGTGGGCCGGCACCCCCTGCGGCACCTTCAGCCCTCTGAGAGAGGTACGCCCGGGGCCACGCCCTCTCAGAACGGTTCAGGAAATCGAGGGCAAAGGAAGCCTCAGCCCGGCTGAGAAAACGCAGGTGAAAGAGGCCAACACGCTGGTGGAGCGCACCTTCGACTCCTTGCTCTGGCAGATGCCTTTGATACGCCAGCTCGCCCAGCTTGGCCGCACAGCAGCCTGCCATTTCGACCAGTGCCGCCTTGGGCTGGATACCGTCAAGCCCACCAAGATCCTGTACTCGGCGCATGCCTCTGGCTTTGCTGCGTTGCGACCACCCTTCTGGAGCTCATGGCACAGTTGCCGGACGGAGGGAGCAGGGGCCTTCAGGCAGCCAGGGCGAATACACGCCACACCTCGCGATCATCGCTCACTCGCTCTACCAGGGCTTCCGTGTCCGGGCCCTGGAACAGGAGCCCCTCTGAACACCGCGGAGTTCGAGGCCCTTGGGGCCAGAGCTCCGCGCGCGGAGAGGGAGGAGGAGAACCGCCGAGCGCTCGCCTTCCTCGGTCGAGGAAAGTGGGCCGGGCCATTCACAAACTTCTGCACAACAGCCTTCGACAATGGCCCCAGCTGATGGAGCCGGCCAAGGCTGCACTCAAAGGGGTCGGAAGTCGTGGAAGCAGTCCTCTTGACCACCCTCGGGGCAAAAGCCAAGAAGGCCAGGAACCGGACAGCGGTTGCCAGCAGACCCCGACGCTACCACGCTGGCCGGCTGGCTTGACCATGGAGCCCCCCTCGGCATCTTCGGCCGAGGAGGAGGCGAACGAACTGGACGCTCTTCTCCGCGACTACGAAGCCAGGGGCTTTTGCAAGGTGGTCTCCTCCATGGAAGAGGCCAAGAAGATCCTTGGAGAGACCCCTGTCTTGAACAAGCTTGGCGTGTTGGTCAAGGAGAAGAAGGACGCCCAAGGCCGCATTGTCAAGAAGGCCAGGGTCATTTGGGATCTCCGCAAGTCCTCCGTCAACAAGGCCTGCCACTCGGCTTTTGGACGTGGTGGCCTCCCTCCTTGCTGCCTACAGGCGGGGTAGATCCCCCTACATGGCCTGCGTCGACATGCGCGACGCCTTCATGAACATACCGGCCGGAGGGGACCGGAAGTTCACGGTAGCCGCGGTCCCAGGGCGCCGGAACAAAAGAGGAGCCAGGGCCCGGCTCATCCTCTTCAACACCTTGGTCTTCGGCTCTTCGCCCACGGTTTGGGGCCGGGCGGCGGCATGGCTGGGCCGAACGACCACAGCCACGGGCACGACGGATGTGCAGGTCTACGTCGACGACCCGATGTACGTCCTCGATGGCCCCGAGCTCCAGACGGCAGCCAGCGACCTCGCCGTAGCGCTCCTCTGGACGGCGGTCGCAGGCTACCCCGTGAAGCTGTCCAAAGCTAGCGGGGGCAAGGACGTGGAGTGGGTTGGGGCCCGCCTGAAGTGCCTTGACCAAGAGAGGGCAGTGGTGGTAACGAGGCCAAGATCCGCGCCCTCCTCTCCGACACCGACAAGTTCCTGGCAAAACCGGTTGTGGGTCGTCGCGAGCTTCGCTCCTACACGGGGGCACTTTCCTTCGTCGCTGGCCTGGTTCCCCACCTCAGGCCTTTTCTGGCGTCTTTCTGGGCGGCGAATGAGGGCCATCCTGTCAAGGAGGCCCGACGGCTTATCCATGTGCGCCGGATCAGCCCGGCACTTCGCTGGGTTAAGGCCCTGCTGGGCGGTGGCCAGGCCATCGAGAGGATCTTCTACGCGAACCCGCCGGCCACGGACCTGGAGATTGTTACAGACGCGTCCCCTTGGGGAATGGGAGCAGTACGGCGCAACGGGGGACAGCCGACTGCCTACTTCTACACGCACCTCCCGGATGAGGTGTTGTTTCGCTTCAAGGCAGAACGCGTCCCGAAGTACAACACCCTTTGGGAGGGCCTCGCGCTTCTGATCGCCTTTCGGCTGTGGCTCCCTGCTTTGGCACACGGAGCCGTGTTCAGGGCGAAGTCCGACAACCTGGGCTTCTTGATGGCCCTCTCAAAGGGGAGCGCCAAGTCTCCCGAACTCAATGTGCTTGCCCGGGAGTTCGCGTTAGACCAGGCAACCCGGGCCTACCAGGTGAAGGGCCTTGTGCACATACCTGGCGTCACCAACGTGCAGGCTAAGGCCCTGTCACGACTTTTCGCTCTGGAAGCGAAAGCTTTCCCGAAGGAGCTCCTTGGAATGCCTCGCGCTGAGGTAGCCCTTAACTCGGACTTCTGGAAAGTGTGAGGGAAAAGGAGCGAGGGTTTGTGTCGGTGTGCGCGGCCCCTCACTCTCGCCCTCCCCATCTCTTGCTCTCTCTCTCTCTCTCTCTCTCTCTCTCTCTCTCTCTCTCTCTCTCTCTCTCTCTCTCTCTCTCTCTCTCTGCGGGCTGTCTGCGGTGAGTTCCGAGTGTGCTTTGCGTTCGCGTTTGGCCAGGTGCTGTCACCCCCGAGCTGCAGCTATGCCCAAGCCTAAGAGATCGTATAGAGCTGCGTTCTGGCCATTAAGTAACCCCTCCGAGCCTCGGTTGGAGCAGGGGCGGGCGGCCATTCTTCGCGAGGGTCCAGCGATTGTGCAAAACCCAGCGGTAGCCGCCGCCCCTAAGGCCCAAGCGGTCGGAGCGGGGCCTGATAACGCAGGTAGACCTAGGAATGGGGAACCCTTGGAATATCGCCGGGGTCGGCGGCCAAGGCAATGGAGTCTTTAAGTGACCCCGCTCGTTGCCGAGCCATCTTGCTGGCAGACTCGAGAGCTTCCACTTCGGTCGCTCCGGTGGTGTCTCGGCTTAGGCTGTGGGAGAAGATGTCAGCCAAGGCAAACATCGACGACCCCTTCCGACCTACCCCCGACGGGGTTTACACCGTGATGGGTGCCCTGAAGGATGCTGGCTACCGCTCTGCAATGCAGTACCTGGACCTTGCAAAGCAGGAACACATCCAGGCAGGCCACCCTTGGACCGAACAGTTGGCGTTAGCCTATAGGGTTTGCGCCCGTTCTTGCAAGCGAGGCCTCGGCCCAGCTAAGCAGGCGGCTGCGCTCCCTCTTGGCAGGCTGTCGAATGTAGACCCGGGCCCGTGCCACGCCCCAGGCGGACCTACGAAACCGGTCGCATCAACTGTGGTCGCTTCCTGGTGGCTCCTTCGGGAACTCGAGGCGTCCAGAGCCAGAGTCAAGCACATCACGCTGGATTGGAACACCAAGACTGCGGCGTGGCTTCTGCCATCCTCCAAAACGGACGTCGCCGCGCTTGGTGCCACTCGAAAACACGCGTGTTCGTGCGGCGCCCTCGACCCTGGCCTATGCCCTTTTCACCTTCCTTTTGGCATCTTTGATACAGGGAAAGCGACCCAATGACCCAGTGTTCACCGACTTGGATGGGAACCCACCCTCAAAGAGTGGCTGGGCCGACACCTTCCAGAACATTGCGGCCCAATTGGGCCTGCCTCTGTGCCACCATAACGGTGCCAGAGCCTTTACGGGTCATTCTGCGAGAGCCACAGGAGCACAATTTCTGGCAGCACAGGGTATCGAGATATGGCGCATTCAAATATTTGGACGCTGGGGAAGCAGCACTATTTTGATTTACGTAAGAGACGCCCCCCTCTCCCATCTGTCCGAAGCCATTGAGTCCGGCCATGGAGCTGCGCTGGCGCGCGTCCGGCAAGAACTCGAATCCTTGCTTCAAAGGGCCCGTCCCCTTTTGGCGATCCCGGACCAGGAGTGGAGGGAAGATTTTCATCGGCTTGGGCAGGCACCTCTTAGACCTCCCGGCGCTGAAAGGACAGGCGCTCGTTTCGTGCTGAATACGGCCAGGGGAGGTAAGCTCCACCGATGCCTCAACGACTTCAGCTCGCCACAGGTGGCTCTCAACCCTAGGTGCTGGCGCACCTGCTGCTTGTGGCCCTTTGCATCAGGTGAATCCTATGCGTGGGTTTCCACACGCCACCGTGGGAAGAGATGTAAACATTGCTTCCCCGGCGAAAGGAGAGCTGCGTCCGAGCATAGCTCGGGCAGCTCCTCCAGCCAAAGTTCCAGCAGTAGCTCAGATACGAGCGACAGCTCATGATACCTACAAGCAACCGCGCTCAAGCAGGTCGGACATCCATTGCGTTTCTTTCAGGTCAGGCGGGCATCTCTGCCCACTTGAGTTTGTCGGGTACCAAACTACCCGACATAGCAAGCGGAGCGACCTGACGACCACCATGTAGAAAAGATGCTTGTCCGCTGCTAATGCGATAAGGAGGTTGCTTGGGGAGCGGTAAAGCGATTGTCTTGCCTTGCCTTGGAATCTACTTCGTTTTGGGTTGACGCATATGTGGCCAACTTTTCGCATTAAGGTATGATGTAATCTATCCAGTTCTTTTCAATTCTGTTCTGATGTGCTCTATTACTTATGTGCTACTCATCTTCTAGAATCTGTTCTGTTGGATTCTGTTATATTCTGAAATCGTTCACTATATGTTTTTGTATGAGTCATTGCATGTACGTATATGCATATTTATAGTTGTATGTATTTGATTTATATATGATATAATATAGTGGAGCGTGATCTCATATTCGGTTGTGTTGTCATTTTATGTACACAAATACATACAGATTTTCATACACACACCCATGCATGCATATATTATAAACATGTGTATATACATACATATGTACGTACTTATGCACATACACAGGCTGTGCTGTCATTCGCTTCTGCTGTGCTTGCAGGTGTTTGTCCTGCCCTCTAGCAACCTGTATAAGTCCATGCAACTGCTAAACCTACAGCCGAAGCGCCGCCCAAGCCTTCCGTTTTCGCCTGTTGTGAGGTGGTGGCAGTGCACACAGCTTGACAGGCCTGCCCTGATCGGTGATAAGCTGACCAAGGAACATGCTTGAAGACACGGTTGTTATCATCAGATGTGGAGATGCGAGCTTGCATCTGGAGAAGACAAATCAATAGGTTTTCCAGTTTGGCTTTATGGATGCCAGGGCCTCGACGTCGAAATTCGGAGCATTCTAAGGCATCACTGGTCTGAGCAGTTGCCAAATTTACAGCCTGTGCCGGTGAGTTGTCGGTTCCTCTGCGTGCCTTGGATGTTTCTTGGCCTAGTCCCAGACCGTCTAAGCAATTAGATGTGTGCTAGTACTGGCCTGACAGAATGAAACGATGTGCAAGGCTACTCCTTCAGTCCGAAGGCGTATGCCAAGGCCATGCGATGCCATCTTGCCGTGTTGCTTCGGGTCTGAGGCTTGACAGGCGAGGGCTTGCTGGCAGAATGTGTGTCTGAAGCAATGCTTTCCTCCAGGCTCAGTCTCCGTCGGTCGCGCTTGCTACAAACGGCTCCATTGACCAGCGTTCCCAGGGTCAAAGATGCTCCTGATCATGCCGAGTCCAAGAGGAATGCGTTCCGCAAACCGCTGTGCCACACGTCTTTTTCAAGCAGCAGAATGGAGCACGGCTCGCCGTGCCGCAAACAAGCAAGCTTTAATGTCACACCTTAAGTTCACCCAGAACTTTCACAGTCCTTGCCATGAGAGAGGTTTTCAAGTGTCGGTAGACTCGGTAGACGGTGGTTTGCAACACATCGCACACCTCTCGCTGACGGCTAGGCGGTGCTTCACAGCTGCAAACACTCGGCCGCGCCAGCGGGAAGCTCGGCGGAGGCGATTGTGTCCTCGGACAAGAGCCGCCCAATCTGCAGGGTCCGCTTTCAGCCACGCGTGTATCGTCTTCTTGATGTGCCAAACCATGCGTGGCTGCATCCCTCATCATTTCTTCGATTGCTTGTTGCTGCGAATTGTTACTCGAATTCGCAGAGCTTCGGAAGCCTCTGATTGCTGTCAGAAATGACGTTGCTAGATGAACCGTCAGCAGACACCATATCCTGCAACGGCACATGGTGACATAGTGTCTTGAAACTAGCAGCTCTTTGCAAAACAAACTGGAGGTATAAATGAGCAAGTGCAGCAGCGGCATACGGATCGTTGAAATCACGACTTCTTGCAACAGGAGCTACTTAGTGCCTGTACTTGACTGTCAGCGAAGCCTCTTCAAACTGCCAACCATTTTCGCTCAGCGCGTGTTACCATTTGCCACACGCATTGTAAATGGCGACGCGGGAGGTGCCACTGATGGGTGTCGCGATAAGGACGACTAGAAGACTAGTACTACTAAAGAAGGCGTGCGAGGAGAGAACATACGGACAGGCATGATATGAGCTTACGAACTTTCCGAGGTTCTTGGGCTTCTACTTGGCACTGCAAATGGAAAGGTGCTCAAGGCCCTCCTTTCCCGCTTCCGTGCCGAAACCACGCTCTTGCATGAACATGCTTCCATGGGTTGCTGTTGTTGCCAGATTCCTGCCCGGAGCAATCACCAAGAGGGTGATTTGGGTTCTTGAAGTTCATCTTCAATCCCACGCCTGAATGTTCGGGTTGGCCACGCATCCAGCTGGTCCAAAATGTTCGTCCACAAATGCAACAGGATCCGAGCTCTTGCCTGAAACCCTCGCCCGAAGCCACTTCTCCACCCGCATGCTAGGTAGCGGATGCCATACCGCTCTTCCACACGCATGCTCTGGCCCTGCCTGGCCAAGTTGATGCGAGCTTCTAGCAGGTGGAGTCGATGCTTTTTTGGCTTGTCATACGGCGGCCGCTAACGACCACGCTGCTGAGACCAACATGTCACCGTAGCTGTAATGGCACCGGTGTTCCTCAGCAAATTTCGCTTGCTCCGAATTTGGGGTCGGAGAATGTTGGCATGTTAGAAGGGGCGACAGATGGACGCAGCCTAATTGAGCATATTGCGTGGTCTGCATCCTTGGAAGCCACTACAGGTCCCAGACCGCCTTCTTCCTCAAGTTTGGGGTGGTGGGACCCGATTTTTTTGGAGGAACCTTGGATTTTTGACTGTCTTCTGGCTACAGCGCTGGTTTGTCGGGTTTAGTTGGCCGAGACGTGAGACTCCTGGCGCGGAGCTTGCAGTCATGGCAGGGCCCCATGCTGAAGATCGTGCTGGCCTTGGCATTCTCGATTGCGCAGAACCCAACCAAGCAACCAAGCAACCAAACAACCCGACCAACCCGACCAACCAACCCAACCAACCCAACCCAACCCAACCCAACCCAACCAACCCAAGCAAACGGACTAGACTAGCGAAGCCAACCAACCATCCCAACAAACAAACCAACAACATCCAACAACCAACCAAGCAAGCGAGCGAGCAACCAAAAGCAATCAAACAAACACGAAAACAGCCCCACAAAACAAGTGAGCATCCTAAAGCATGTCAAACACGCAAGCACACAAGCACACAAGCACACAACAAAAACAATCCTCAGCAGCAGATCAAACTAAGCACAAAAGCACATACAGGCATGTGTGCATGCATGCTAACTTGAGTACTCGTACATGCATAACTCATGCATCTGCTTGTTTCGCGTAATACGATCTTCAAAAATCATGCCTCCGCTTGTTGCACGCAATTAGTTGTTTTGTGCAAGAGGTTTACGATCCGTTTTGCTTCTAAGGGGCATCCACCACAGGGTTTTGGGAAACTGCACCCCCAGCGGTGCCGCAGCAGCGAAGTATCCGAATGTCACTGTGGGATGAAGCCCTTTAGGGCAGCTATCTAAAGCGTCTGGATCGTGTTTCAACCGGGATGGGTAGGATCCCGGCACAAGGCCTGCATGCTTGCCGAAGAGCACTGTAAGGCTGCCCGGCGCTTGGCTGTGTTGCAGGTTATGTATCGAAGGTGTGCAACTTGTTGAAAGATGCAGGTGCAGCGCCACATAATTGAAGTCAAAGCCTGGCCTCAAGCTGCACAGGCTTCATTCCCTTGGGGTTTTACATAGGTGGGCCATGCATGCTGGCAACATTCAGGGTTGCTGTCCTTCTGCGCTTCATGTCCCGAAGCCAACCGCGAGAAAGCCCCAGACCTTCTAGATTTTTGTGGATGACATGCATGCTGCGGTGGAGTTTTTTTGAGTCGAGGTCCACCTTGCTTCTTAAAGTTCGCACTAGGCTGTAAACTCTGAAGCGGGAATCTGGCCACCGTTAGATGCTAAGCGTTACAACCTTAAAGCAACAACCTGAAAGCAATGCATCAGGGAGCCCAGACTTCCACTGCAGGCCGGTGATCTGGAGATTGTTGGCCTGTACCATGCAACTCCTTCCGGAAGTACCGAGATGACTCCTGTCAAGGCTGGATCATACAGTACCTACATGCTGAAATCGCACTGGGCTTGCTTCGGATGGGAACAGATTGAGTGACGTTCAGAGCTACATGGCTGAGAATGACCTTTGCCGAATCATATGTACTTCTCTAATTATGGGTTCCATTGAAGCAAAACTCGTCCACTTGATGTACCACTTCGTCGGGTAGTCCGGCTGTTCTGCCCTTTGGCATGCAATCCGTGCATGTTAAGACCGCTAATCCTTCCGATCTGTCGGCACGAGGATGCTGAGCCGCTGTGACGTCGCAGGCATTACCCACCGTTCCCCTCAGCTCTGAAGCATCCGGAAGCCCGAAACACTGGGACACCGGGTGAACTAGCAGTTCTGGTTGTGGCCGGGCCCAGGGTACCTTCAAGGGGACCCGAAACCCCAATTTCGAACGACCACCATCTCACAAAGAGGCCATCGCCGACAAGCTGGCGCAGAACTTTGCATCCGCTTCAGCCTGGAGCTCGTGTACCCCTTAAGGGGTTTTCCAAACGTGTGGTGCCTTTCCGTGCCCTGAAACAGGCCCGAAGGAGATTGTGTTACTTGTTGTCATAGTTTCAATGGAGCCCGTGCCCTTGTGGCCTTGCGCCGTTTATGCCCTCTTTTGGGCTGCGACATGACTACTCTGATGGGTAAGGATGTGCCAGAACTGGTGGACATGTGAACATGGCGTAGGGGCATCAAAGACTGTCTCCACGCTTGTCGTCTCTGAAAGTCGAATGCAACAGATACGTTGCGTCAGCCAGGTCTTTCATCTGTGCACAAGTATGCCAACTCGCACAAAGCTGGACCATCCTTTGCGATTGTAGCTTTTCGTTGACTGCGGTCAAACAGAGACGACATGCAGGCTTGGCGGTCGCAAGCGAAGCAGCAAGCGTAATAGTCAGTATGATGCTGAATCTAAGTACGCAGGCGTCGGATATCGGCACTTGGTTGCAAAAGCCAAGTATGCCTTAGAACATGGACCTCCAAGGCTTGCCAAGTTTGAGTTTCTGTGTCCGGTACGAGCTCGAGGTTTGAAGGTGAAGCACGCCTACTGTCCACACTCTCCATACAGTACCAGTAATTAGCCCCGCACGGCGCTCCAATCCACTGCGGAGCTGTAGTCATTTTTTGCAGGAGTAGATGTTAGATGCACCCATCTTAGTAGGACCTTTGCTTCAATCCCACATATCGCTACGACACCGGCAACACTCTTTCGACGTCTTTCAACGTTTTCTGAAGCGGACCGGCGCAGACGTATTTAGTTGGAGCTGGGAAGTCGAAGATCTCCCTGTGCATTCAACGGGAAACCCTCAGCCCTGAGCCCATGCTAGGTTTGGACATTGGATGCTAGTGTCTCTGCTGAAAGAGCAAGAGTTCGGTCGTTTTTCCCTTTGTAGAGCGTGAATCTTTGGGTTGAATGCCCTGGTTTAGCTTGATTCGAGGTTCCGGCCACTCTTGGCCCATGGTTTGTGAAGCATCGTATCTTCCGTTGCTTTAGTCGCAAAGCCTATTCGGCGAACATGCAACTTTTATTACAAAGAGATAGTTACCCTCATGATGCAAGTCTCCGCAGCCCTGGAGACAAAGGGTGCCAGAGGATTGTGCTTGGTGCGGGGTAGGCCCAGTACGCAGAAGATGTTGGAGAGCCAAGCGGAGTGGTTGTTTTGCATAGTCAGCACCCTGCCGCAGATCATGATCCAGGCACACGGTCTACTTCCCATGGCTCTTTGGCAGACTGTAGGGGTTGGGGCTCGAGTACCACCAGCACCCGCGGCAGCAGCACCAACACCAGGGCCGGTGCCCGTGCAGACATCACCATTCCAGCCAGCGCTGTCATTCTCAATGACAAAATCCTAGTCATCTGTCAGAACACGAAGGGCACCCATAGCAACAAGCATGAACTCCCGCCAGAACTGCAATACTGCGCATGTCAATTGATGACACTGCGAATCTTGTTGCCGCCTGTGGACTGGAAGGCTGCCGCCGTGTGCAAACTCGACTGTTGTAGAAGTACGAGTTTCGGCAAACCGGCCTGAGCCAACGCATGTGCGGAGCCCTCTTTATTTCCGAAGATACATCGCACCAAAGCTGTCTTCTGGTCCTGCTGATACCACAGGTGCGGAAACACTATGATCCTGTTGACATGGAGATTCCGCCCAGGAGACATGAACAAAAGCACGTCGTAAGCCATATGTCGTAAATGCTCCACACCCGAAAGCCCGGCCAGCTTCCAGGCAAGCTGCCCGAAAAGCAATTCGCCTTCAAGGGTCTGGGACGCTCGAAGGCGGGTTCCTGCAAATAGGGGGTTCAGCAAGGATTGACTTCGCGCAATCTACAATGGTCTTCACGGTGGCTGTAGTTTCACCGTCGGGTTCGCTCTACGAGGGGAACGAGATAGTGGCATCGGTGAAAACGAGATCCTTTGCGGACCCTCAATCTGTGATGCACCGCAGCTTTTCGTCTGCTTGCTGCACTCGTGCGGCTTTTGTTTGATGATGTGCGGGAGAATGCCTGTGTTTTGTCATGCCCAAGTCTTTGCCTCGACATGACGTAGAGTTGGCGTCATTTTGGGTGTGACACATCCAATATATTGTCTGACGGGGTGTCTGCCACGCAGTGCCTCGGGCCATTCACTACTTCTACTTGCTGTTACTACTGCTACTACTACTACGACGACGACTACTACTACATCCACATCTACGTCTATACGTGTATATGTCTATACGTCTGTGCGTCTACACGTCTGTACGTCTTTACATCTACGCGTCTACGTCTGCGTCTACGTCTACTAGGACTGACTGCTACTACTACTACTACTACTACTACTACTACTACTGCTACTGCTACTGCTACTGCTACTGCTACTGCTACTGGTACTACTACTGCTACTACTACCACTTCCACTACAACTCGTACTCCTACTACTACGACTACGACGACGACTGCTGCTACTACTACTACTACTGCTGCTGCTACTGCTACTGCTACTGCTACGATTACTACTACCACTACTACTACTACTACTACTACTGCTACTACAACTACTACTACTACTACTACTACAACTACTACTACTACTACTACTATGACTACTACTGCTACTACCACTACGACGACGACTACTACTACATCCACTTCTACGTCTGTACGTGTATATGTCTATACGTCTGTGCGTCTACACGTCTGTACGTCTTTACATCTACGCGTCTACGTCTGCGTCTACGTCTACTAGGACTGACTGCTACTACTACTACTACTACTACTACTACTACTACTACTACTGCTACTGCTACTGGTACTACTACTGCTACTACTACCACTTCCACTACAACTCGTACTCCTACTACTACGACTACGACGACGACTGCTACTACTACTACTACTACTACTGCTGCTACTGCTACT